GTAAAGTGAACAGGTGGAAAGACAGGGAAGGGTCAAGGAACAGGAACTGGAGAGGTGGCCAAAGGCAGGGGAGTGTACGGGGCTGTGGGGATCAGACAGAAACAAGGATCCTCAATAGGTATTTCAACTTTTATTTTTTTTTTAATTTCAACTTTTATACAAAAAAATACTAGAAGGTCCCTGAAGGCTTCTCTGCAGCAGTCATCCACGTTCCAGAAAGTTTCTTTGCTTCTGGTGTGGAGATTTCATGAAGACAAAGAACACTTGATCATCATTGTCCTGAACACTGTCTCTGCCGTCTAATAATTCTCAATCCCTCCCCACCAACCACAGGCACTTCCTTACTTAAAATAATCATTCAAGTTTAGAAATAAAATTCAGTATTTTTGTCTTAATTTTTAAGATTTATAGTAAGTTAAACTATCTTTGTAGCCACTTTAACATTTCAAACAGGTGGCCTTTATTTCATTATTCCTTGTTTCTCCCAGAACACATTCTTCTGACTTTGGATTATAGTCATAACTCAGTGAAACACAATCTCATTTCAATCAAAGCATGGGGACTTGCAACCACCTAATTTTCTGAGACGGGATCACAGGGGATTTTAAGTGAGTGATTCCTACATTATTAAATTACTTCAACCTAAGAAGCTGTCCAGGAAGTCACTTTAGACTTTTGGGAAGGAAAACTGAGTTTCTCATGTTCAAATCTGCACAAAAAGTTTCTCTATAAGAAAAAGTAACCAATCCTTGACCAGTACAAAAATAACTCTTTCATAGTTATCTCTCTTTCTTTAAAAACAACAAAACAAAACAAAACAAAACAAAAACTACAGCTTGATATGTGTTCAATTCGAGTTGTGTCAGCCTTGCAGCCATAAGGGGCAAATTTAAACCTCGGCACCATCCCACCTGCCAGCTGTCATCCCATGGCACTGTTGTCTGTGGTCCCTAGAGTCACAACGAAGGTCTGTGATCACCGACTTTGTGTGCGTTTACTGTAACTAACTGTGTGATAGTGCACTCACTTTGTGTGACTGACACCACTATCACTGTATCATCATCGTCCTGTTGTTCATTGACTTCCTCGAGCAGGCACCAGTAATGTCTCCTTCGCCCTAGCCCTGAGATTTTAGAAAGTGCCACATTGGAGGCTCTTTCAGGGTCAGGAGAATGAGACCCATCACAGTTATTGGGTTTTGTCATATTCCATACGCCACGGGGAGTTTGCCAGACTCTGCCGTGTGAGTAGGATACTTTCGGTAGCCTGCCAGGTTCTCCAGAATAAGAACTAGATAATAAGATGTGGACCTCAAATCCCCGGCCTGGGGGTGGGGGGATGCCACAGAGCGTGTGTACAGAGAACACGGGGGACAGCGACCCACTCTCCTGGGAGCTGGATGCTGCGGGGGCAGCCACAGGGCCCCTCCTGGGACCCTCCTGCAGGCTCAGTGCAAGCAGGAACCAGCACAGACCCCAGGGGCCGCGGACTGTAACTCGTTCAGTTGGAAATGCCATGGGAAGATTCCGTGCCTGGATTGCTCTCCTCAGAGGACACCTGCTCCCTCTAAGGAAATGGCACTTGCTGAGCCCAGCACCCACGGGCCTGGCACCCAGGAGCCCTCAAGAAGGCGGACAGAGGGGCACCAGCCTGCTGCCCACCCCGGAGACCCCCACCGACCCTGGAGCCAAGCACAGCGCCGGCGAAGGGCCCCATCCAGCTCCTGGAAGGTTGGAGGGTGTTGGGGGGAGGAGGTTCCCCTGTGATTCCTGGGAATCAGAGAAGGCCCTGCCCAGTCCACAGCCCACACCCTTTCCCCTGGGTGCCCTGGCGAGCACTCCTGTATGGGTCTCCAGCCCTCTGTGGGAAGGATGGGGTCTTCCACCCCGGAGGCACGCGGGGGGCGTGGCTGGGGGGATGAAGCAAGGCCCAATCTGCAGGACTTTCTGAGAGAAACAGCCACAGCCGAGTTCCGGGGTTCCGGGGTAGCAGGGCCTGCGCAGGGCAGTGCCACATTCTTACATGGAGATAAACACCAGGCGGGGGTCTCTGTGCCCATGTGGGCCACCAGAAAGAACAAGACGAGCCTAAGAGTCAGAGAGCAGAATTCTTTCTCCTCCCGACTGGGAGAATGAGGGATCAGGCGAGCCCCCGGGAGCTTGAGGTGGGGAGGGCAGGGCGCCCCACCTGGCAGCAGAGCTGGGCCATTCCTGGGCTCCTCCCCTGGGAGAACCGATCACGGCAGCTAGGGGGTCATGTCATGGGGTCCTGGGGATGCCTGTGGGGGGAAAGGGCAGCCCAGCCCCAAGTCCCACCTATGGCCCCGAGGGCTGCCACACTCCAGAGGGACCTGGCTTCTCCCAGCTCACATTCCGGACTCTGTCCTGGCTAGAAGTACTTCCTCCTCCCACAGGGCTGCTTCTCCCTTTTTCCATCATTTCAAATGGAAAGGAGGGGGTGGGAGAACTAGGACTGCGGGGAGGCAGCTTGCCTTCCCTGCGGCAGCCGACCTAGGCTCAATCCCAGACACCCCAGAGGGTCCCCCGAAGCCGCCCACCCCCTAGAAGTGCAAGAATGATCCCTGAGCACAGAGTCAGTAGTAAGCCCTGAGCATCGCTGAGCATTGGCAGGTGTTTCTGTCCAAATATATAAAATATGTAATATTTATATATAAATATATAAAATAACTCAAATGAAAGTCTGGGGGCAGGGACTGGGGAGCAGGAAGACAAAGAGAGGTCCATGTTTGTCTCACATGCCACTGACCCGGGTTCCATCAACATCACCCAGAGGGTCCCCTGAACCCAGGCAGGAGTGACCCCTGAGCACAGGGCCAGATGTTGCCCCAACCACCACCTGGTGTGGCTCTAAAACCAAAATTAAATAAATAAGTCAGAGAACAAATAAGTCGAAAAGCATTATCCTGGGAGAAGGGAGGAGGAATGGTCCCACCACTATACGATACCAGAATATTCTCCTCGGCACTCAGAGAGCACTCCCGTCACTCACCAATCTGCTCTCACACAGCTCTGGAAACCCCAGTCTAATTCCTGTTCCTGCGAATTTACCTTTTTGGAATACTTCGCATAAGACACAGAGACTATAAAACCCAGTTCCCAGAAGAGAACAGCCCAGTCTCCTGCCCCCGCGCCTGGCTGTCCTCACCGGGGCCCCTTGGAGGGGACTGGGTTGAGTTTCCCTCCCCGCCCCGACCAGGACTCCGGCAGCCGAAGACCTCCAGAACCAGCCACCACCATGCTGAGACCACTCTCCCCCCACATGAAGGTACCGGGAGAGGAACAAAGGCATGCGGGTCCCGGGGCTGAGATCTCCAAGCCTACTCGGATTGGGGCTGAGCATCCTCTACCCAGATCCTCCAAATTCCAGTAGGCAGGTCTCACACCCACCAATTGGCCCCCTGGCACCTTGTAATCCCATCAACGGCCAAGACTCAGAGACTATAAAACCCAGCTCCCGGAAGAGAACAGCGCAGAGTCTCCTGCCCCCGCACCTGGCTGTCCTCGCCGGGGCCGCTTGGAGGGGATCGGGTTGAGTTTCCCTCCCCACCCCGACCAGGGCTCTGGCAGCCGAATACCTCCAGAACCAGCCACCATCTGCACACATGAAAGTACCGGCAGAGGAACAAAGGCATGCGGGTCCCGGGGCTGAGATCTCCAAGCCTGCTTGGATGGGGGCTGAGCATCCTCCACCCAGATCCTCCAAATTCCGGTAGGCAGGGGTCACACCCACCAACTGGCCCCCTGGCGCCGTGTAATCCCAATGGCCAAGACTCAGAGACTATGAAACCTAGCTCCCAGAAGCGAGCGACCGCGACATCTCATTATCTCATTCCTACTTTGGACAAACTGGCAGGCTACTGAATGTAACCCGCCCACACGGCAGAGTCTGGCAAACTCCCCATGGCATACCCAATATGCCAAATACCAGTAACAATGATGGGTCTCATTCTCCTAACCCCGAAAGGGCCTTGAATATAGCACTTTATAAAAAATCTCAGGGCTAGGACGAAGGAGACGTTACTGAGGCCTGCTCGAGGCAATCGGCGAACAACAGAATGGTTGTGATTGTGATCGTGATCACATAAATTAAAGTACACAAGATGTATCTTTTGTTTCTGAGATTTTCAACTAACATAATGTCTTCAAGATCCATGCATATTCATAATTGACACATCATTTTAAATGAAGATTCTGAAAAGAAAACGAGGCACAGTAGTATAATAAATCTCTATCCATCAACTAACCTCAACTGTCCTCAATTCATCACCCCTACCATGCATTCACCACCTTGTTTTATTGTGAATCGTATCCCCGAGGTTTAATTATTTCTGTGTAAATATTTCAGTAAGGACATATCATTACGATAATGACTCGAACACTTAAGGACTGATGAGGGTATTTTTCTATTTTACTACAATGACCAACCTCTACCAAGAACTGATTTTTTCCTGATGCTAGGCATTACTTATTTAAGAAACACACTAGATTCAGGTACTCATTTCTCTAATAAAAGTTTTATATAAGAAAATAAAGAGAGTCATAAACCAAAATCCCAGAAAATTATCTTCAGGTGCCAAGATTCAAAGTGACCCGCCATTTGATAAATATCTCAATATTTCTCTGACAATAATGCTCACAGGGGGGTTGTTTACTATCCTAGCTTTTCCTTGTCATCTCAGGAAAGGTTTAGAGATTATTACAAGGGTGTTTTCTGCTTTGTTTTTCAGCAGGCACTTTTCTAAAAACTACAAACCAGGAAGCGCTTCAAGATGCTTAGGTGAGGGTTAGACATGAAGCAGTTTCACACTGAAAGGAGAGTTGCTAAGCTGAGGAGAACTCAGTGCTTCCTCAATGTCTGTCTTAGGAAATGTAGTAAGCAGGCAAATAATTACTAAAATAGGGTGTGAAGGAAAAAATGAGATTTCAGGTTAACAGGACAGTTAAAGTTGACAGAAGAATGTCTAGGTGAGTAGCGCTTACCTTTTTGTGGGCTATCAAGAGGCAATTGGAATGCTCATGCTCACAAGCAAGTTCATAGTCAGGGATCAGCTCGACCAACTCACGGACAAAACGGACCACTTCCTCATGCCAGGGCACGTTGGCCATGGTGAGACTGCTTGCTGAGCTCTCTCCACAGTAGGTAACGCCCTGTGGGAACAACGCGGCAGTGAGAAACAATCCAGGCGAACCAGGAGGTCAGAGCAGAGTTCCGGAGTCCGAGGCTTCTAAAGGTCATTTAATGCAAGTTGAAAAAGTGATAGAGGGGGCTGGAGAGATAGCACAGCGGGTAGGGCGTTCGCCTTGCACGCGGCTGACCCGGGTTTGATTTCCAGCATCCCATAAGGTTCCCAGAGCACCACCAGGAGTAATTCCTGAGTGCAGAGCCAGGAGGAACCCCTGTGCATTGCCGGGTGTGACCCAAAAAGCAAAAGCAAAAAAAAAAAAAGTGATAGAAACACCAGACTTGTTTTGAAACCCACAGGAGCAGTAGCACTGTAGCACTGTCCTCCCGTTGTGCATCTATTTGCTCGAGCGGGCACCAGTAATGTCTCCATTATGAGACTTGTTGTCACTGTTTTTGGCATATCAAATATGCCACAGGGAGCTTACCAGGCTCCGCCACGCAGGCTGGATACTCTTGGTAGCTTGCCAGGCTCTCCGAGAGGGACAGAGGAATACTGGTGCTCCCAATTTGCTGCTCTCTCTGCTCTGATAATGTGGGGGATTGGGCACCAGTGTTGTGGGCATGTCTCAATCTAGACTGCCAATCATAATAATGCATTTGAACCAACAATGCACTTTTTCACTAAGATTCATTTGTTTATTATAGCAGAGCAATTTTCCAGGCATTAGAATCTCATAGAACAAGAGGCAGAACTGACAACTATAATTCATTGAACCACTTATTTGCTGGGAAAATAATGTCCCTATTTATTAGCAAATCTGAGGTTGGTAAACCTTCAATAGAAAGGTCCAGAGAGCAAGTAAATTGAAATTCTTTTTTAATTTTTTTGGTCTTGGCCCACACCTGGTGGTGCTCAAGGCTTACTTGTGGTTCGTCTCTCAGGGGACTGGCAGAGCCTGGGGACCAGAAGAGGTGCTGGGAATCAAACCCAGATCTGGCAAGTGCTTTATGGAAGGCCAAGTGGCTTTCCTACTGTACTCGCTCTCCAGTCCTGAAATTATTCTTTAAGAAGTTACATACATGTAGCATACATATTACACACATATGGGTATATATCCATACAAGACTGTGGCAAATGGAAAATACCTTTATAGCTACATACATACCTTTATATACATATAAATATTCATATGTGTATCACACATCTCTAGATTCAGTCTCACTGAATCAGTTGAACTGCTCAGTCAAACTGTGGTCAAGGATGCTGAGTTCTAAATCTTTTGATCTCTGACAGTTCAGCTACTCAACACCCTGAAGGTTCACAACTGCAGCTCTCTATTTGGTAAATTGCATAATAATAAATGATTAATTTTCTATTAGAAGGGATATGTTAATTAGTATGTTCTTAAGGTATCCAAAAATCTAACTTTCTGGACAGTGGGTTGAATATTCTAGTTATAGTGCTTCTAAGTAGGGGACAAATGAAATAAAAGATACACTATCTTGTTCTCATTTTCTCTCACACATAGTCATAGTCACACAGACTGGAAGAGGCAAAACAATATTAAATGAAAGCCCCACAAATGAGCACTGCAGTGTGACTGACTTCTGACTCCATAGAAGGCAGAGTTGGGATATGGCCAAAAATTCAGATGAGCTCGGCAAAAGACTCCACCCCAGATGGCTGTCCCAATGATCTCTGGTATGCTAAACAGAGGTGACCTCTGCAGATATAAACTGTAATAAATGTAATTTAATTATAACAAAAGAACCAGTGATTTGCAGATTTAATTGAATTTAGTTTACATTTTAAAAAAGCAAATAGTACTATAGCTCCCAAAATCCTTCAGAAAGCAAGGCAGAAAGCTTGTGTTAAACATACGCAGAAGAAAATAATTTTTTGATAGCCATAAAATAAACTTCAAATAAGTCATAAACTTCTATTTTAATACTGTTTGTAATTTACATGCTCTTAAACACTAATTATGCTATGTGAATAACCAGGTATTTAGTAGGGATATCTCAAAGGACTCTATTTTTAATATTAAGAAAGTTAACTGAAGCAGTGATTAAAGGTTAAGATTTTATATTCAATGCCAATGACTGAAAAATACTTCTCATGGGTTTTTTTTTGGGGGGATGAGGGGGGCACCCAGCAGTACTCAGGGCCTACACCTAGCTCTGCACTCGGGAGCACTTCTGGTGGGAACTGGGGGACCACAGTGGGAGTTGAGGATCAAATCTGTGTACTCTGCATGTAAGACAAACACCCTATGTGCTGTATTATCTCTATGGGCCTTAAATTTTTAAATATGTTTCTGGGAAACCACACCTAGCAATGCTTGGGAGCAACTTTCGGCTTAGTGCTTATGGCTTGCCCCTGTGATGCTGAGGGAACCCTTGGTAGGACACACAGGCTCACAAACGCAAGGCAGACTGTAGCTCTGCCACGGAGCTACAGTCATGGCACAAAAAATATTCCTTACTCAGTAACAATAAATCATGAAATAGTAAGGAAAGATTTGGTTTGGAAATAAGACAAGAAAGAATGCACAGTTTGTTTTGATGCCTCTACAACACACATTTGCTAGAAAAGATGACAATTCTATATTTAGTTTTTGAAGAACTTCCATACTGCATTCCCAAATGGTAAGATATATTTACATTTCCACCAACAGTACGGGAAAAGTCCTTTTACCCCACACCCTCACCAACACTTGTTGCTACACATCTTTTCGGTCAAGCCATTCTGACAGATGTTGAGAAGCTACTCTCTCACTGTGGCTCTCACTCACATTTTCCTAATAAATGATGACTGTGTTTCATGGTCTGTTGGACATCTGTTATATTTCCTTTGAAGAGAGAAGAATTTATTTAGATCTTCTATTTTTATATCAGACTATTTTCTATTGAACTGCATGAGTTCTTTCTATGCCTGGAAATTTAACCCTTTGTTGAATGATTATTTCACTTCATTGCATTCTAGTTTTTTTTTGACATTTGCCCTGATTTTATTCCTGATCAAACTTGACCCAGAATTATCTAAAAATGCTTCAATTATTACGCTGTGCAAAGATCTTTTATTTGGTAGGGTTTTTTCATTCTTCATGTATATGTATAACACACACATACACATACATACACACACGTGCACACGCAGACAGAGAGACAGAGAGACAGACACACACACACACACACACACACACACACACACACACACGTTTCCCCTCTGTTAAACATCCTTTACTTTGATGTAGTTCAATCACTAACTTTGACTTTCCTATTCCTCACAGTTTAGCTTGAGTCTCTAAAGACATCACCAGTGAACATGGATTCATCATGTTTACTTTATGATTTTGGTTCTTATAACGCATTACCTACTTTGAATTTGTTTTTTTTTAATTTGTTTAAAGAGTGTTTCAGTTTCATTCTTTGCACATATGACTGTCCAAATGTCCTAACACCATTTTTGAATCAGTTTTTCATTCTCCATTTTTTTAGTCATTGTGGTGTCTTTGTCACAGATTGTGAATATATTTGTAGATTTATATCTGATAAATATCCCTATTTATCAATTAACCAATAAACATTCCAATAAACATTCCAATTCTAGTTAACTGATCTCTTAGTTTTTTATTCTTTTTTTTTTTATGACTCCACAATACCACTTCTGGGAATATATCCCAAGGATGCAAAAAAGCACAGTAGAAATGACAATTGTACCTATGTGTTCATTGCAGCACTGTTCACAATAGCAAAAATCTGGAAACAACCCAAGTATCCTACATCAGATGACTGGCTAAAGAAACTTTGGTACATCTACACAATGGAATACTATACAGCAGTTAGGAGAGATGAAGTCATGAAATTTGCTTATAAGTAGATAGAGCATGATGGAGATCCATGATACACGGAGAGTCTCATGTTAAGTGAAATGAGTCAGAAAGAGAGGGACAGACATAGAAGGACCGCAGTCATTTGTGGAGTATAGAATAACATAACATGTGGCTGACACCCAAGGATATTAGATACAAGGGCCAGGAGGACTGCCCCATAGCTGGAAGCCTGCCTCATGAGCGGAGGGGAGAAGGCAGATAAAATAACGCATTACCTACTTTGATTAAGAAAATGATGAATGGAGGAATCAGTCGGGATGGGAGATGTGTGCCAAAAGTAGATAATGGTCCAAACATGATGACCTCTCAGTATCTGTATTGCAAACCATAATGCCCCCAAAGGAGAGAGAGAGTATGGGGAATATTGTCTGCCATGGAGGCAGGAGGACGATGGCAGGGGGGTATACTGGGGATATTGGTGGTGGGGAATGTGCACTGGTGGAGGGAAGGGTGTTTGATTATTGTGTGATTGTAACCCAAACTTGAAAGCTTGTAACTTTCTCACAGTGATTAAATAAAATTTAAAAAAAAATTAGAAAAATGAGTTTTTTATTCTAATATCCACAGTTTAATTTACTGTTCACTTTTGGGTTTTTGTTGTTTTGTTTGGGGCTCATACCTGGCAACGCTCAAGCTATGAGCTCAAGCTATATGCTCCTGGCTCTGCAGGTCAGGAGCGTACAAGCCTTATACACTGTACTATATCCTTGGTCCAAAACTTTGTAAGAAAGTTTGAAGCTTGCAAAATTGCAAAATGATGCCTTCATTTACCTCTCAAAATTATAACAATTCAAAATCTTTTGTAGTTCCATAAAGATTTTAGTATTTAAAAGATATATTACTTAATAAAATAATGATTAGAATTTTGTAAGATTGTATGGAATCTGTACTGTGATTTTATAAGATGGCAACCCACCCCACCTTTTTTAAAAATGAATCACATGAGATACACAGTTACAAAGTTGTTCATGATTGGGTTTCAGTGAAACAATGTTCTAGCACCTGTGCCTCCACCAGTGTACATTTCCCACCACCGATGTCCCCAAAGCCTGCCCCTATGGCAGACCTCCCCCCTCTCTTTCTCTTTTGCTCTCTCTCTCTCTCTCATTTTAGGCACTGTGGTTTGA